TGATAAATGTTTGTTGAATGAGTGAATGAACCTCTGAAGTCCCTTCCAGGTCTGATAGTGTGAGTCTGTGAGCTGGAGACATCTTTGGGAAAGAATGGGATTGGACAGAAAGAAAAGGTTTAGTCCCACTCCCACGGGACCCTCGTCACACTCTACTATGCAAGTATGATCTGCCCCTTATGGATCACCTTTCCTCTCTCTCAACCCCTTGCTTCGTTTTCCATCTCCTCTGCACTCCCTTCTATCCCAAACATATTATTGTGGGTTGAATTGTGTCCCCCCAGAAAAGATATGTTTAAGTCCTAACCTCCAGGACTTGTGGATGTGATCTTATTTGGAAATAGGGTCTCTGGAGATGTACTCAAGTTAAGAAGAGGTCCTACTGGATTAGAGTGAGCCCCACCTATCAGGACTCCTGTCCCTCTAAGAAGAGGGGAATCTGAACACATACACACAGGGAGGATGCCATGGAGGGAGGCAGAGACTAGAGTGATGCTGCCACAGCCAAGGAGTGCCAAAGACCGCTGGCAACCACCGGAAGCCAGGAGAGAGGCACTGAACAGATTCCCGCTCTGCGCCCCCAAGAAGGAACCAACCTTCCAGACACTTTGATTTTGGATGTCAGGCCCCCTGAATTATTAGAGAATAAATCTGTGTAGTTTTAAGCCACCCCGTTTGTGGTATTTTGTTATAGCAGCCCCAGGAAACTAATACAAGTGAACCTTGAACAGTGTGGGGGTTAAGGGCACTGATCACCCGCACAGTTGGAAATCCACAGATAACGTAAGTCAGCCCTCTGCCTGTTCGGATTCCCAACAGAGGATGGAAAATACAGTTGACCTTTGAACTTACACATGGAAAAAGTGGATTGGCACTGTTCAAACCGCATTGTTGAAGGGTCAACTGCATACCTATCCAAGGCCAGTATTGGGAAATCACCCCACTGATGCCGGTTAACAGAGCCCTCCACAGCACCAGTGCCTCTGACATCTCCCCAAATGTTCACTGAGGCTGAGTCATTGCTGTGCTCATTGCGGGTCTCCGAAAGGAAGAAGCCTGACTCTCCCATCTTCCACGTGGTCATTTAGCAGGAAGAGGATGCTAGGGGGGTGGGGAGGAGGGTGACCAGCTGCTTTAATTCCCAACTGGGGACAGCCCAAGAGAAAAAGGGGGCTTTCCTCACTCTGATAGGCTATCACAATCTTTTACTTTCACTCATTCAGTAAATACATGTGCCGCATTTACTGTGCTGGGCGCTGCTGGGTGCTGGTGGAGAGCGTGGGTATATGGATGGGGGAGAAATGCTAAAGAAATAAAACACACATTCCCTGAGTTCTAGGAACCAAGCTGGAGTTGGAGCCCTGTGGCATGGTGGGTCAATTAGCATGGACTTGGGAATCAGACCGTCCTGGTTTAAATCCTGGCTCTGACATGGACTTCCACTGTGATCTTGGAAAAGTTACCTAATCCCTCTGGGCCTTCATCTTATTGCGAGTATTTAGATAAGATGATGTACTAGTGTTCAGCACAGGGCCAGAGTAAGTGCTCAATAAATGTTAGTTATTTTCATTAATGTTCACCAGAAACAGCTCAGTAAAATAACAAGGTGATTTTGATCAAACAGGACCTCTGTATAGTTCAGGCCCTCAACACCTCTTGCTGGACACTGATGAAATGCTTAGAACATTTGCGAATAATGTAAGTGTGGTTCAGGGGTGTAAAATAACTTGGCCAAGCTCTCAGAACGCTTGTGAGAGGCAGAGTTCAAACTAGAGCTCCCAAGCATGCATTCTTCCTATTTCTGGGCAATGCTTACAGTATTTGCAAGTCAGAGTGGGCTGAGAGCAGCATATGATTAGGAGGGGGCCTAAAGCATTTCTCTTAAGGCCGTGGTTACCTCTATAGGAAGTACACTGTATTGGACTTACGTGTTTGTTTAATGCATATCTAGTGCTTACTATAGGGTGTTCTAAGCACTTTATGTTAGCAACTCATTTATCTTCACAGGAGCCTATAAGACGGACACTGTATTATTCCCATTTCACAGGTGTGGAAATTGCAACGCAGTGAGGTTAAGCAACTTTCCCAAGGTCACAGATAGTAGTGGAAGCAGGATTCACACTTGCTTATTTGGCTCCATAGACAAAGCCCTTAGCCACTGTTCAATACAGCATTATCTTGGGTGTGGGGGAGGCACTGCTGACATGTATGCATAGGGGAAGGAAAGAGGGTTACCACCCCACATGCAAGCCACCCTTTGGTGCAATTGCTGCAATAAGACTACGAGGAATTCGACCCTATAAGGAGAATGGCAGGATAGGGGCTGTTTAGCCCTGGGAGTCTCTGAGTCAACAGCCTCTCATCCGAGGGCCACTTCCTGAAAACTCTTTGCGCCTCAGCTTTGGAAACTCTTTGAGCACAAAGAGCTCATTTCCTGTGGCCGGGAAGGACGGGAGGAGTTCCTGATGACAGCTCATCTCCCTCATTAAGACGCCCATAAAAGTGTTTCAAGGAGCCTGAATTATGGCTCCGCTGTTCGTCAAGATGCCCTTCTGCAAGGAGGCACTCTGGTAATTTGGTGCGAGGAGACATGCAGGGGAAACCAACTCCTTTGAGTCCAGGAATTATTTATGATCCTTAGAAGAGTGAATGTCATTTAGAGAGATAACAAGCCTTCACCAGCACAACAGGCTGTTTAATATGCCACGAGGGATGGGAGGCAGCTTCAGAATTCCAAAGCCAGCTAGGAATTCTTGAGAGATTCTGAACCTGTAAGTTGTCTGTTCCTATGAAAGCTCCCTGGCCAATAACAGCTACCCGTTAAGGAGGTTTTACCTCTGAGCCAGGGCTTGCGTTAAATGCTTTGTATATGTTAATTTCATTCTCACACCATTCCTATCCGATTTTACAAATGAGGAAATTGAGGCACAGAGAAGTTAACTTGCCCAAGGTCACACATTAGTGAGTAGTCAAGTCAGGATTTTAACCCAAGTAGTTCTGCCTCCGTGTTTGTAATCTTGAACACCAAACAGAGCTTAGGTGGAAACAGGATTTTAAATCAACCCAGTACATTAAAATGTACATATATTCAAAATTACCGTTGATAATCCCTTAAAATACCTAAAAATCTTAGTACATTTGGTTTGAGGCATATGGTCTTGTCCAGTAATTAGAGAACCACTGAGCTAAACTAAACAAAAGAGCTGAAGGAAAGCCCATATGCAGATGCTTATGCTTTTAAACTACTCTACCTCCAAGAGAACTATCAAATCCCTAAGAAGTGAAATAGGGGCAGAGAATTATAAGATGTCCTTACCCACCTGCAGGGATGACTAGTCCCTTTTTAGTAGTTAGCCTCTGTCACTTTAACACATGTCACTTGTCATGTGGTATTTTGCTGAATTAAAAGAAAACATATTTACATCTTAGGAGGAGAGAAATTCCTGTTAGAGAAGGGGTTCTATATTCCAAGTCTAAATTAAATGAACCTGGTACAACGAGATGCCATGAGACTAGCTTTGGAGCCAGATAAACCTGGATTTGAACCCTAAATCTGCTACTTACTAGCTGTATAACTGGACAATTTGCTTAAGTTCCCAAAGCCTTGGTTTCTTAATCTGTAAAATGGTCATATCAATACCACCATGTTGAGAAGATTAGTTTTAAAAGTTTATAAAGTAGCAAGTTTGAATATATGTAAATTATAGTTATTAAGCACTAGCTCTTAGTAGCTATTTGACCTAAAGCAGGTCATATCATTTCTCTGAGCCTCATTTCTCCTCACCTGCATAACTTTTCTGCCTACTAATCACAAAGGTCATTGTAAAGAAACACTACAGCACAGCACAAAGTTTGCATGAAGATTTTCTCAGGGACTTGGTACACCTGGAATGGTGGGGAGGTGCTTGGAGACCCCTGCTGGAGAAAATAACTCAGGGGAGTCCTGAGCCAGAACTCAGAAATGGGCGCAGATTTCCACATTGCCCTTTAGCGTGGCTGTGTGGCTTTGGGTGAGTGACCTAACCTCTCTGCGCCTCTACTTCCCCTTCTATCAAATGGGGTTAACAGTTCCGACATCACTGGATTATCCAGAGAATCATATTGGGCAGAAAAGTGTTAGGTACGTGGAGCGCTCAATAAGTGTTTGCTGAATCTGAATCTTTCTGAGCTCAGTCCCTCATCTTCCACGGATGGGAAAAGACCGCGGTGTCCCCGCGTGGAGCTCAGGAGCTCAGTCAGGTAGGGGAGACGCTCCACGCGGCGTCCGTGCCTCCCGACTCCCCCGCACCCTCAACCGTTGCCATGGCCACCGGTTCAGGCTCGGAGCAGCACCTAGGCGTGTTCAGACCAAGCCCCGCCTTTCCAGAGTGACCATTGGCTGGAGAAGCCACGTGACACACCCTGGTATGCTAATATATGCTAATTGCACAACGCCCCTCCCCCCCGGGCAGTGTCCGAGCAGCCAGCAGGGTGCGCGGCGCCGAGGCGCCGA